ACACACACACACACTCAAACTCCTGTAACACAAACACACACCTTTCCACACACTCTCACTCTGCCCTTGCTGCATGCCATTGTCACTCTCTGGATGAGTGTTATTAGAACCTGCTTTCAGCTCCTCTTGTCTTACACACATGCACGACACACTTGCCCAGTTTCCGCACACACACCTCTCAGTGTTGTCAGTGTTAGAATTCTTTTCAATGCCAGCTTAGCTTATTACACACTTCTCCTCTTCGTGGACAGTTATGCTTCTCTTGAATTTTCCTGCAATCAGTTAACACTGCCCTAAAAATTTCCCTTTTATGATATACCAAAAACTATGACATATTCCTTATCTTATTTGATTCTCTGAAGGTGTATCACACACTCTCGGTGTAAAAAAAAAAAGTTTATTCCGCAGTATCTTCATGTGTTTGTCCTTTCATCAAAAGGAATCATCTTGGACTTTACTATATGAACATTTTATAGTCTTTCAGTGCAACATTTTGGAAAATATAAAAATCTCAACTAGAATATTGATATATATGAACACAGATCACTGACAAACTCTTCATCCATGTTCTACTGCAGTAGGAAAGATAACAGGGACCCAGAATAGAGTAGACATTGCTGTAATCCCGCGCCATGCATTCTGTATGCACCTGAATTGTGCAACACAGTCTGAAATAATTTTTAAAAGGATATCCACTGAGAACTTGAGATAGCAACTTCAGAAAAGTGTACAAAACAAAATATCTTAAAAAGTCCCTCCTGCCATTTAAGTGTCCCCCTCTCTTATCCTTTTGCCCCTCCCCTCTTCCCTCGCACCTGTCTGGTGCTCCAGTGTCGGTGAAAGTGAAGGAGATAGGAAAGGGGAATGAAGTCATGACAGGGTATGGAGATGAATCCCAGTGGGGACAGCTCTGTCAGCGAGAGAAAGCGCAAGCTGCCACAGTCAGCTCAGCTGTGCCACAGAGCTGAAAGTAAATACACTTCTTTCCTAAACTCTGGACGTGTTTGTGTGTGCGTTTGGCGCGGTGCGTATCTGCCACCTGTTATACGAACATGACCCTTGACGCGCGTGCACCAATGTGTATGCATTCTTGCTTTCATGAGAATGTGCGTGTGTGTCAGACTTCTTCCGAGACTCTTCTTCTCCAGACTAAATGTATAATTGGATACTCAGAGCAGGCAGCAAAAAAAGGGTTCCCTGTCTTAGATAATGATTGGAAGACTTTAAAGTGTGACTGCTAATATAATATATATAGATCATATGAGTGGACAGTATTTATAGCGTTAGTTGGACATGTAGCTTAGCTGGACCTCATGAGCTCCTGGGGCTAGCACACACACACACACACACACGTAGACATGTCCCTGCTGGGCCTGACAGAAATAGCAAGTTGTTAACAATTAGTGCTAGACTCATCCCAGACCTATGTCAGTTTGAGTGTCAGTGACATTGTGTTAGCTATAAACAAGGTAATATGCTTTCAGGGCATATAAGCCCACTCTTCAAGAACACACAGTCATCCACTCCAGCATTTACACCATTTTGTATGTTGTAATGTTGCTTGTAAAAAAAAAAAAATCTGCTTGTTTTACAGCATATTCACATGGGACTCTGTGATTTGTTAATGTTCAGTATACTACTGTAATTAGTGCACTGAGGGATGACAGACTTATGGAGTACCATAAGATCGCAACATCTAGCTAGCGGCTCTGTGAGGTGGTGCTTTGAAATGCTAACATCCTGGCAACAAGCTCTCAATGACATGCTGATGTTTAGCAAGTACGCTGACTGTATTCATCAGTTCACAATGTTAGCACGCTAACATTTGTTAGATACTCCCAGAAAAACTTGACCCTCCTTGTTGTTTACATATACTTCTCCATAAACTGTACGGATAACTTATTTCTAATGTTAATGCAGCCTAAACCACAGTAAAAGTGTCATTCTGACTTATTGTTCTATTTTGTCACTTCAGGGCCGTTGTTCCAGGGAGAACTGCAAGTATCTGCACCCTCCTCCCCACCTAAAGACCCAGCTTGAGATCAATGGCAGGAACAACCTCATCCAGCAGAAGAACATGGCCATGCTGGCCCAGCAGATGCAGCTCGCCAATGCCATGATGCCTGGCACGCAGCTACCACCTATGGTGAGAGGACACACACGTATGAACACACCACAGCTACTGCCAACGGTGAGACCACATACATGTAAAAGCTCACACATATACAGCTCCACCGCTGTCTGCGTGGCTCTCTCAGTCTTTTGATCTGTCTTTCCGTCAGTTCCTGTCTTCTACCATACGAAAAGCTCACACTTTGTGGTTTATGTGTACATTTTATCCACAGTCATTTCACCCCTCTGCTTTTATTTTGCTCTCGTCCAGCCCATGTTCTCCATGACGCCAGGCCTGGCCACCAACGCCAGCGCAGCAGCAGCTGCAGCCGCGGCCTTTAATCCCTACCTGAGCCCAGTGTCACCAGGCCTGATGCCCCAGGAGATCATGCCCAGCACCCCTGTCCTCATGGCCTCCAGCCCCACTGTCAGCCAAGTCCCCAACGCTGCCGCTGCTGCAGCCCAGAAACTGCTGAGAACGGATAGACTTGAGGTAACACACAGACGGATGAATAGAACCTGGTTTTCTCAACATTTTGTTTTGGGGCATGGATGCATCGTGTAACGTAGAATCAGCCCACTCCTCCCAAAAAGTTCCAGGAAAACTCAGATAAACTGTACTTTATGATGTGTATCTTTCTTAGTGGCTGTGAAGCCTCCCAGAATGAAAATGACCCTGTAAAGGAGACAAGTGTTGTTAACAAGCGATTTAACAAGCATACGAATAACGGCACCCTTTATTGGTCTTGTATAAACTGTTTCTGAAACTCAGTTGTAACATTAATGGCAGGTACCATTATGCTAAGTAGAAGCAAATCCAAAGAAAATAAAACCATCAGAGGTTCATAAACTGTAATATTTCATCAGCTTATGAAGTGGAGTGCATTCGAAGTGTTACTTTGTAATTAAGAGTTTATTTTTTTGATGAACCCACTCCCACTTAATCTTCTTCGTCTAATCCCAGCACACTTTGTGCTTCTGTACAGTAGGCTTCACAAAATGTCATTAGACAAGCACCAAAGATTAGCCTGAACTTGTTGAATGTTTATTTGAGTGGAAAGAGCAGTAATGATTTCCCTAGCACCAGTTATAGTATAGCAACAGCAAAGGAACACGTTCTTTCTAGTCAAGACAAACTGAGAACTCTGCTCAAAGCATAACATTTATTGTGGCTGCATTGCATTGTGGTCTGTTGAGACTGCTGTCAGCAGAGAACTTATTGCTTCTTCATCCGCTGGTGGTTTGAAGAAGAAAGAATCCTTTTCTCTGTAATTCTGAGGGACCTTAATCTTAATATCGCTTTTCCTCACAGTATCTTTGATGTTGTCTACAAAATGAAATCACAGAACCACACAATACACCCAGAAATGCAACGTCATCACAAAACCATTTTGTGCATCAAGTACAATGTTCATGTAGTAGGAGGGGGTTTCCTCTTTTAAATCAAAAAATGAAGTATAAATGTTACCTTTTTTGTCCTTACAGGGCACACATTAAGTTTAACCACACACTGCTGACACACTTTGAACAGAAAAGCATAGTGGATAGCAAATAAGTAATGCCCATGTGTTCATTCTAATTTAAAAGAAGGTGCTGCCCTCTGGTGTCTCACATATAGACTTCGTCTGAGATTCACACTCCAACAAACACATAACAGTTCATAATAAAGAAAAGCTTTATCGTAAGATTCTAGGTTTATTGTGTTAAACTAAAAGCTTCAGCACAGCCTGGAACTTCCTTAGAGCAATATTTATTGAGGAACTCCATATCTAACAGTTCTATTTAAACAGGAAGTACACCACACAGCAAGAGGAATATTATCTTGCAGTGCATTTCAATCTACGTATTGGACCGCAGGTCTCATACATGTTTAAGTTTAATAGATGTTTGTAATATACACCCTCTATAATAAGTAAAAGCCTGATGAGTCATGCTTGATATATTCTGCATAAAGACACAAAGCAGGAAATGTTCCACATAGAGCTACTGTATTCTTGTGCTGTGCTGAATTATTAAGTAACTCCAAGTCTTTTCATGTCACTTCCTCTCATCTTGTTTCAAGGTGTGTCGGGAATATCAGAGAGGCAACTGCTCTCGGGGGGAGAACGACTGTCGCTTTGCCCACCCCGCAGACAGCACCATGATCGACACCAACGACAACACCGTCACCGTGTGCATGGACTACATCAAGGGTCGCTGCTCCCGAGAAAAGTGCAAGTACTTCCATCCGCCGGCCCATCTGCAGGCCAAAATTAAGGCTGCCCAGCACCAGGTGAACCAGGCCACAGCCGCCGCGGCCATGGTGAGCAGTCTGTACAAGCGTGGTCACACTCATTCACACACACACAACAGGCTAAGGAGCAATTTTGAGGAAGTTCTTACATTTCAGGGCTACTATAAATTCAGTTAGCCAGTAGGAAATACAGTATGTTCTTTGGCTCATACTCTCATTCATGTTTGTAAGTGTTTCACCTTCCTGGTTGGTATTATGTTCAGTTCTGCTTTTGCTAGGTCAAATTAAAGGTCTGCAAGTTGGTTTGGGTAAACAAAAATGCTGTGAACTGGATGAAATGAAGAAGGATCAGACAATGGTACATTACTTTGTGCAATTAGGTTTTTTTTCCCCTGTCAATCTTTAAAAAAAAAAAAGAAGATTGTCTTGTTCCTTGTTCCTTGTTCATCTCATCCCAGACCACAGGCAGAGAGTCAGTTCCTCTCTCTCTCTCTTTCTCTCTCTCTCTCTCTCTCTCTCTGATGACCTGGTCTTATTTGTGACACCATTGTTTCTGTGCTTCCTATCTATTACTTCTCTTCCTCTTGACATTATTAAAAAAGGATTCATTGTGCTTTCAGTCCCGTCTCACAGTAACAGCACCTGTGAATAATAGTACAGCCACACTTGTCTGTTGATCACAGTCTTCTTTACATGCTCTTATTGACATAGCCAGGGCTATGTGGTGAATCATTGTAATGTGACACTGACTATGTTGTGCACAGTGAAACAGAAACTTTTGAATTGTGCTTCCATGTCCGATACGATTACCGAAACCCACTTTAAAGTAATGATTGAATAATATTCTCATCGCTATAGTCATCCATCTTTGTGTGACAATAACTAATGTAGATTGGTAGTTATCATTGATTATTGATGATCATTTAACTGTTGAGCAGTAGAGCTAGTGTCCATACTGTGCATGCCTTAGTCCTGTTATCCCCTTGTATATTGCATTCCAATGATTTGTTTTTTTATTTGTTTTTGTTTTTTCTCACCTATACCCAAACTGCACTGCTGCCCCCATGATGCACCTCTGCTTGCTGGTTTATGTTAATGCGCTTGAACCCCATTGGCCCATTGCCATCATGTGCTCGCTGCCTGCTAATTAAGACTCAGTCGGCTGTCAAATCACTGAAGCGACCCCTCGACGCAACCTTTGACCTGGTACTATGACCTTTCACCTTTTAGCTTGGCATGTGGCTTTGTTGTAGAGCAGTGTTTTAACCAATGATACCTAGCTATTTTTGTTGTCGTTGTCTCAGTGCAATGTCTGTTTTTTCCTCCTGTTGTTGTCATTATTGCCTGTGATAAAATGATTGTGGCTTTCCCGTTTTTGCATCCAACACCGAACAACTCTCCTCATGTAGAAGTCACCTCAAACACGAATTCAAATGTGGAATTTGTGATATGGAGCCACAATCAATTCATCACCTATAGCCTATTTAACAAAAGTCAGTGAGGGCTAGAGAAGTAGAGCTTCTATAATGGTGGCATGGCTTCAGTCTTACGTCCAAGTCAGTGGTCAGTGTTGTGGAGCAGCTCAATCAAATGTGTGCATGTCTGTGTTACTAGTGCATGTCAGATGGATAAGGGTGGGGCTAAGAGGAACAGTCTTTAAAACCATACAGGAGTGATCCCACCATAACAGATGATAACAGTTCAAATGATAGTTCACTCCATCATCAAATCTTATCACAGATGTTCAGACCTCAAGGGTGACCTCAAGCCAGGACAGAATCCCACACACAGAGCGTTTTATGGTCTAAATGTTAGCACCGGAAAAATACTTTTTATCTGACTCATGTCCCTTGGCCTGAGACCATTCATGACATTTGTCTGAGAGTGAACCATCGTTTAAACATGGCTTACACAGTTTATCATGGAGCTAGCAGTGCAGCCTCCCTTTCTCTGTGCTTCCTACCTGTTCCACCTCTTGTTAGCAGCCTTATTGTTTTAATAGTTAATGCTTGCTTATGTTGCATTTAGTCAGCCCTAGGAGTACAAAGTAAATAATCCAAGTAAGCTTCCTGATAAAATAATGAATATATGAATGCTTGTTAGCCAGTAGCTCCAGTAGGCACCATGCTCCTGCTTGTGTAGTATTTGTGTCAGACTGCTGCTTGCTTGCTACTGATGATATGATGATATTGTTGTTGTTGTACACACAAGGATGTTGTGATGCTGTTTATATGATGTCCTCTAACGTATGTACCTTTTTTGTTTTCTTTCCCGTTTTTGCCTCTTTCCAACACACCCTCTCTCTCTCTCTTTTTTCCACGCACCTTTCTCTCTTTCTATCTCTTTTTTGTTGTTTTTTCTCACTGTCCTCCCTCCGTCTGGCTGGGCAGGGCATCGGCCCTAGTGTCATGGCTCCCCTGCCCAAGCGGGCAGCCCTGGAGAAGGCCAACGGGGCCTCTGCCATGTTTAACACCGGCATGCTCCAGTACCAACAGGCCCTGGCCAGCATGCAGTTTCAGCAGCAGGCTGCTTTCCTCCCATCAGGTAATGGCTCCCGAAACAAGCACCAATAGTGCTCTGACCATCCAAAGGATGCCTGGATCAGTCTAACATGGCTCCTGCTTGGCTGGGGTTGGGCAAAGTGAAAGATTGCAGTACAGAGCAGTTTGGTTGTGGACTGTTTATCAACTTTAGTTGGTTATGAGGAACTTACAAAGATGTTCAATCATAAACGCTCTTATTGATTTAGTCTAGGCCAGTGAGGGTTAAACATTTTCATCTCAATGTGCATTTGAAAATCTAAAAATGCTTTAACAAATTTGTGCATAGTGCTTTGTATGGCATTGCATGGCCACTAGGTGGGTTAGAATGTCTTCCTGCCTACTAATTGCCTTAATATAGCTCCACATAGTGACAGATTAGTGTCCATGGTGTGATCACTCATATTTTGATGACACACCATTGCTGGGGTTTTGGCTTGGGCTGGGATGAACGGGGCTGGATGGGTTGGTACAACAAACAGCAGTCTGGCTTCTGTATACTATCTGCTGTTCTCCTTCACTTCTGTCTAGAGTGTGTATATAATGTTTAATACTTGATAGTTACAATGATAACCCCACTATCGCTCTTGTTGTATTACACATTCATATGCATTGCGCTTCAGACAAAAGTTTAGATTCACAGTCTCATTTGATTAACAGATTTCTTATGATGAGTTCACCACTTCGCCTTTTTCCAATCACTGATGACCGTGTCCAAGAGATATTAACCTTTTTTTCCCACCTTATCTCTCCCCTCACTCTAACGAACCTTGTGATGGGCTGTTTTGATTTCTCTTCCCTATCCAATCCACTTCCTGTTGCACTGCATGATGGGCAGGCTCAATATTGTGCATGACACCTGCAGCCAGCATTGGTAGGTTCCAGCTTTCCTTCTTCAGTTATCTGTAAGCTCATGTCTCGTGACTCACACGTCATCAAAATCGAACCTTCCAGTGAAATTTATTTTGCTGTACTTTTAGGGACTTTGTGATCTTTATACAGAGAGATTTTGGTGACTTGAGAGTCACTGTTTTGGTTGCGATACCTATTGTGATTTGACGCATAAGCAAGAGTCCACATAAGTAAAGACAAATATTGTAACATTTAATTGTTGTTTATTACCTGTTATATATATATATATGTTATATAATATCAATTTAACTGCCCTTTACCTTGTTCATTTATTTGTGTACACCTACTGTATATTGCTTGACCGCTCTCATTCTCATGCTCCTTCTAAACTTGGCTTTTGGCTGGTCTAACCTGACGTCTATTGAAACCCCTTTTAAAAACATTAAAAACCTGAGGGAGTTCAATTATAACCTCCCCCCTTATCTCCTCTGCCTTAATGACTCGTGACGGCACATTTATTAATGTTATTTTATTATAGAATGTTTTTAACGTGAGCTCTCATCTGGAAAGTACAATGTTGATCATTCTATTACTAATAACACACACAAACATGGAAGTAAGCCACTGCCGCTGCTACAGCTGCACTGTATCACATCAAGTTTTCAAATCACAAGGCCTCTCAGTGTCGGCAGAGGGAAGAAAGGGAACTAGTTAAATCGAATCCCTCTCTGACTCCCTCTCTCTCCCGCTCCTTCTCTCATTTGCCTGGTGTGTATGTGGCTACACTGCTCCTCTGTGTATTTTTGCTTACATGATTTTCCCTCCAAAAAAAGTTCCCATGATGCACGGTGGTAATCCAGCCACTGTGTCTGCAGCCACCACATCTGCCACAAGCGTTCCCTTCGCAACTGCCTCCACCAATCAGGTTTGCACCTCCACCGCCTCAGTCTCTCTCTTTCCCTCTCTCTCCCTCTCTATCTATGTCTCTCTCTCCATCTATCTATCTATCTATCTCTCTCTCTCTCTGTCTGTCCCTCATCTCTGTCTTTCAATGCACCTGGACGATCTGGGGATGCTTGTGTCTTAGAGCTAGGGGTGGGTTGGGTAAAAGGCGGTACTCCCTCTTGTTGGCCTACACTAGAGTCCAACATGTGTACACATATTATACTGTGACAAGTTTTAAGACATTTATTCCCATTTTTACTATATCCACAATATTTATACATTTCTTAGATGATCTATGTCTTTCTGGAAAAGCCTACTGTATTGCATATGTTTGTAACCTCGATTTTTGTCCTTTCCCATTTTGAGGACTCTTCCTTTTCAAAGTTGACTACCAACGAATACATGCAATTGGTATGTATGAGGTAGTTTTTTTCACAGTTTTTAGAGCAATTTGCACAGCTTGTGCAACAGTCGCTATCTGTGCCCTTTGGTGCTTTGCTTTTTTTTCTTTTTCGCTGCTGCTTCAAGCACATAAAGCAAAGCTTTACCATGTTCCTCGTGTTTAAAAGACATATTCATTATTCCTTTACTGTGTATTTCAATGTTTTGTTTGCAGTTTATTGTTACATTGTTCTTTTTTAATGTGTAATTCTAATTGAAGTATGTTGTTCTATTCAATGTTACATGACCTAGACCTCTAGTTTCTACCTGTTGTGTTGTTGCAGGTCCTATATGGAGGATTTGATTTTTGGTTCTTGTGGGAAAGTCCTTACTGTTTTGTTTCCCTGCCCCTTTTTTAATTCCTTCCTCTTCCCCTCCCTGCTATCTAGAAGCGTCTGTTAATTCTTATTGACATGTCACGTCTGAATGAATTCTGCCTCAACTGTAGCCAAATTGCTTTTTCTTGTCATCTCCGCCCTTTTCCAGTAATGAACTCATCTTAACGTGAGAGGATGTGGTTAAAATGTGTTGATTTGTTTGATCTGTGTTGTCGGCCAACGTCTGCTTGTGAGTGTTTTCGGTTTGGGAGGCTTCATTTGATCTCTGTCTGTTTTCTACCCCCAGATTCCAATAATATCTGCAGATCATCTGAGTAGTCACAAGTACTTGACTCAAATGTAGTTCCTCTCAAGAACAGTGAGTTCCTATTTCAATCCTCATATTCTCTCTATTCATAACGAACTTTGTTTACTTTGTTGAATCATTTTAGCTCTGGTTAAAGATTCATTTTGTGTGTGCACATAGAGAACAACATTTCCTCTCTGTCCCTTTCCGCTGTCTTACAGACTTTTAATGCAGTTTTCTTCAAGTGAAATCCGTCATGTCTTACAGATCAAATGAATGTGTGCTGGCACCGTCCAAGCCAAAAGAGTTCAGCCTTTATGTACATAACCTTCAGAATGTCAAGCAATGGGACAAGGAGGGTCTGCCATCTCTCAGCCGGTCCACAATGATGGTCTCATCACACATGTAAACATCAACGGTGCAACACATGATCTGTGCCATCTTCCCACATATCAATGTCAAGAAGAATTTGTTGTCAAATTCAACGTCCAGCCAAGACAAGAGGACATCTTGGTGCCAGATTCAGTGTGTCTCTCCCTCTACGGGAAACGTTCACATTACACCTCTGTGTCTGACAAAATCATAGCGCTCAATTTGTTCTAATTATTATCATTACTGCACGCACAGAGGATCAAGAGCGTGGTTGCATAAAGCAACATCCAGTGCTGGTACGTTAGTAGACCAAGATTTTTCTTTCCTTTTTTATTTGTTCTGCTTTATTTTATTTTTTTTTAATTGATAGCCATATTTCATAGTTTACAAGTGAAATGCAAACATGCACCTTGAATTTGAATTGAAATCTGAAAGGCACAATGATTTTAACAGGAATTTTATTCGCCAAAAGAATTAGGCATGTACAGTATTGTGTTTTTACGGCTACTAGTGAAACTAGATGTTGAAATGAGGGTCTTGGACATATGAATGTTCTGGGTAAACCAACATACCTGTGTACCTTGAAAGCACAGCCAGGCTAGCTTTTCTCACCTTGTCATGTGCCATCAAGGCCATACAGCTAAAAACCAGAGTGTTATCTCAGCAGTGTTATTTGTTTACCGAAGGTAAAAGTTTTGTATGGCTCTTTTTGTATTGTTTTGTTTTAAGAATCTCCATTGTGAGTGTTTATTTTTTACTTTTTTTTTGTTTTCATTTCTCTAATTAATCAGTTTTAGAAGTGGGGTTCTTGCCAATTTCTTTTTTTTAATTTTTGTTTTTCTTTTAAAATCAAAAATGGAGGGTTTTTCTAAAGTTTGTCATACCTCTTTTCATAGACTAGTGTTGTTTTTGTTTGTTGGGATTAAGTCCATTAAAGCCTGGTGAAGTAGAGGGTGTAGCTTCAATTGACAATGTGTTACATTGTTCTCCCTCTTCTAAAGAGGAGCGACTTTAAAACTGTGTCTCCAAAAAGCACTGTTGAGCCATGTGTTGATGGGAATTTAAAAACACCAGACCCTGAAGGTCTATTAGGTCATTTAAGCCACATGTGCACTTGAATGATTGTTTGTCTGATCACCCTGTTTTAATTTTACAACCCATCTTAAGTGAACTTTCACTTTTGAGGAAATACAACACGTACTGTGTTAGTTTCCAAGCAAAACATGAAGGTTCTTATTCATTTGTAGATCTGATAACAGAAACCAAAGCACAGTTTGTCTCTCAATCGTATTCACAGAGGGTTACAGAAGCATCTCTGAAGAGGCTTAAACAATTAAGGAAACATCCTTCATTCATCTGTCCATTTTATGATCACTTCCCTTTTCTTTTTTCACAGAGGTGTGTAGTGTGTCTTTACCGATTGTAATGTACCTAACAAAGCCTTAGATTACAATTAATGGGTCTCAGCCCAATCAAATGTACTTTCAATCACCATGCAGGTAAAGAACACCAATGATGTTTTATAGTTGTCTCACATGCCGCTTATGATCTCTTTTTTGTTCTTTCTCTCTATGTAAAAGTAACAATTACTCTTAAATTTCATTGAACTTATGTGTTATGTACTACTTAAGGATTTGAATCTATTTGAGGTATGTAGTTGTAGATTTTTCTTTTTTTTTGCCTTACTATATATTACTTGACAACATTGATATAGCCGTTGTAGATTTTGAGGTAGTATGACATTCATAACTTTTTCAAACCATATAAATGATAATGTGTTGAGTCAGTTTTAAATATTCACTTCATTCATATAGCTGGATGTCTTTTTCAGTTGATGTTACATTATCAGTTAATTTTGTTGATGAAAGACTTTTTTGATACAAGGAATGAGATCAATTAATTTGCTGCCATCTGCAGCGTCTCTGAATAGAGAAAAAAAAACTAATGTTTTAACCAACTTAAATTGTCCTTGTAACATGTCAAGATCATGTTTGAAAATATATTGTGTTGAAATATCCATGTCCATGTTTTAGAGTAAAAATTATTTTCTACTGTATCCATTTAAAAAAAGATATGTACTTTTGTTTGAATATTTCTTAAGTTTGCCCTGAATGTCAGGCCAAAACGAGCAGTGAGATTGACGGGTGTTTGGATGTTTGGTGGATAGTGAGATTAGGAGCGAGAAAGCAAAGACTTCTCCGGGTCGGAGAAGTCAGTAATTCTGCAGATGATGAGTTCTAACCTAAGGGACGAAGGTTGACTTTTTGCACTTCTGTATATAGTCAAATGAACAGAGAAAAAATGTGTATAATATTGAGATATTATTTTGAATAAAAAAAGATCTATAATTATAAGGAATTTTGCTAGATTAATTTAAATTCTTAAATTAGAAGACCAGCTAAAAAAATTGCTTGCAAAGAAGGGCACTAGTTTCTTGGCCAATGCATTCAGAGAAAGCTATGCGCTTTTTGTCTTATTTTATCAGTGGCTAGTATTGCCAGGGAATGTTGTAGGGGAATAAAATCCCCATGTCATGCTAACTCCACCCCTCCTGTAGGATGACACATCCAGTAATGTCCATATGTCATTTGTTGGACTTGGTCATGCAGTATTGCTGCTCCCATGGTACAGTTGATACATAAACCTCTCAAAAATTGTATTCTATTATAGTTTGATTTGACTGCATGTAAAAGTACAAACATGTAAACAAAAGAATCTGCGTAGTTATGTAAAGAAAGATAACACATTCAGATTACAGAATACACAATACTATGTTTGTTTGTTTTTTCAAATTATACATACAGTAGATAACATCCACAGTGGGGAGAAATAATACTTCAAAAAACAAGTCATCTTACTCTTGTGTGATAAAAATATTTTCCAAGCAAACATGTTATTTAAAGAATGATAAAATATAAGCACTCATCCACCCCAGATACTTTCTCATAGCCATATAATTACAGTTGACACTGACTCACAGGAAGTTGTTCCTGCTATCATAGCTGTGCACTCAGCAGGTGAAGGCTCACCACACCAAATGCGTATTTGGCAAATTAGTCTTTGAAATGAATGTAACAGTCACCGGTCAACATGTTTCTGACTCGAGGCTGCTGTATAGTCGCTACAGAACCAAAGTACCATTTTCTCCAAACCAGTTGTTCAGTCACCTGGCTGCAACCAAGGTTTATCTTCCCTGCTGAGGGCACATGTACGCTTTGACTGCTTTTTACTTGTAAGTGCAACCACCTACGTATTTGCTAACAGTTGCCACACAATAATGTACTATTCTGTCTTCAGATTTGTTTATGCACATTTTATTGTTGCCATAATTGACTCTTGCTGTATGGATGAAAAAAATCTGAATAAAACAATATTTGATTTGCTCATGCAACATGTCTGTGGTCACTGCCTCTGTGTGTACTGCATGTGTTGAACAATTACTGTCAGAGTGATGTATGACAGGTGTGCAAGGTTAAATTGATCGTGCTCAGGTCCATTTTTCACAAGATTTTGTGCATTGTCTTTGTCAGAACTGATTATTTAAAGTTAGACGACACCCATATGAACTCACAACATGCCTCCTATAGTACTGTATGAACATGTAACATTTTGACAGTGCTGGAGGAAGTATTCAGATCCCTTATTTAAGTAGAAAGTTAAGTTGACAATACATTTTCCAGCTAATCCAAGAGGGTTTTAGTTTTTTTAGTTTAAGTACGATAATGGAAGCCTTCATCCTTCAGTTTATCAGATAGATACATTATTGTAATCTGAAAAGTAGTAACTAAAACTGTCAGACAAATGTAGTGGAGTAGAAGTATAAAGTTGAATAACATACTCAAGTAAAGTACCTCAAATACTCAATACCTGGCTAACTGTGGGCTAAAACTATCATTTATGACCAGGACCATTTAGGTTACACTAGAGTCAACTGAACTGTGAGCCTATTTTCCTCATAACTGTAACCAAATTACATAGCTACAAAGCTACAGGACCTGTAAAATAAAGTAAATAAATTAAGTAAATGAATTACCCCTCCTCCAACTACAACAGTACAATGCTACATACACAATAATGCATCAGCAATAGCAATCCAGGCTATAGGCCTATATTAGCCTAGTGTCAATGCTCCTCTAATTGAGTACAAGTATATTTTGTTGATAATTCATACTTTTACTTAAAGACCCCCCCCCCCAGACAAGCATTAATACATATATAAAAATAGTCTGCTTAATAATAATAATGTGTGTCTAAGTAGCTTACAATTTCCACATTACACCCTTAATAAAGGCTGACACTGACAGCTTACACTTTCTTGTATAAATTGCAAATTGGAGGATTAGGTTTGACTGCCAAACTATTTGTGATGGCACAGACCACCATCCTCTGCACAATGCAGTTTAAACACCCGACTGTAGGAGGGGGAGTGGAGGGCAACCTTTAAGTCACATTTATCCTCTCCGACTCAAGTAGAGGATGTGAGTCCTGCCTCCACTGGACCGTGGAGATAAGTGTGTAAATTGAATAATGAGCTAATGAATGACCTCATTAACATACACGCTCATGTATAATCCTAATCACAGGGACAGTGGGCGGCTGGAGAGCCTCTAGTTTCGGGGCAATGAGAGGAAGAGTGTGCTCATGAGGGCAGGGGGGGGTCAGGGTAGACTGGGTCGCAGACGCCCGCAGTATCTGCCCGGTCATCTGATCGAGCGAGGTTTCGGTGTGACGGCTCCTTTAAGAAAACGGAACTGAGCCTCGGCTTTTGACGCTGCCGAGGATGTGGGCAGGAAACGCCATGCAAGAGCAGAAAAACGATCACGCTTCCCAGCACCGTTGCACAATACAGGGCGATCAAAATGCGCTTTAATCCGCCACGCTGATGTCCAGGAGCGGTCGTTCTCCTCGGATCTCTCCCCCGCGGCCGTCACACAGCAGGCTTGGAGGATTCGCCGGCGTGGGAGTCGAGCACTATCCGAGCGAGAGGACAGCCTTCCCAGCCTGCTCGGGTTGAAAGGTTCTGGCCCTTTGGATCACACTTGACCTTTTTTTTTTGGGGGGGGTGAACACAAATTGTGGCGATCGGATTGGACTTTGAGTAACCTGTGCAAGGCTTGAGGTGCGTGATTGATGGTTTAGAGCGGATTTGAAGACTTTCAGGTCTCTTAAAAAGTAACAATTCCAGCTTTTGTTCCTCCCTCCTCCCACCAACCACCACCACCACCACCACCACTCTCCAAGACAGATGGCCCAGCCCAGAAGGATGCAACAGTACAACTCAACAATTAAAAACCAACAACAAACAAAACAAAACAGAGAAATAACCAGAAACAGGTGTCTACCTTAGGGTTTCACCAATAAGCTTTCCCATCTGAGCACATTTCATGAGAAAGTGTCTTATATACAAAGTATAAAAAAAAATCCCACTTAACATTCAAGTACGTTTGTCATGTAACACTTTTCCAGACTATAATACATATCTGATTGTTGTCGTCGTGATTTGTGTGTGTGTGTGTGTGTGTGCGCACAAATAAGACACGTGTGAGCAGAGAGAATAGTATAAGCTGCAGGACAAGTTATAAGCTCAAATTCAGCCCGGATGGCACTTGTTCTGTATGGTGTTTGTTTGTTTGTTTGTTTGTTTAGAGCGGACACATGAACAGCCACTGGTCTCCAGCCACTGGGAACAGTTGATTAGTTTCATCTGTCTGACTATTTCCTGCAAACAAGCTCGGTCGACGATCCTTTATTTTTGGCTGAAGTTTCCATAAACGGGGCAGTTCCAGTCTGGGCCAGCGCCTGCCTTCCCCGCGAAGACACCTCTCTCTCCCCCTCCAGCTACCACCTTGTTCCCCACCAGGATTACATGGGACCCTCTCGATCTTCTGTTCACCCGGATGATCTGGTCCTCATCGGCTTGATGTCCTGAAGTCTGCTGGTTCACAGGGGCTGTAGACCAAATAAAGCCTGCCGTTCTTGAATGTAGCAGATCTCTATGGTGAGGCGACTGCTCGGTCCCCGCCGTGTCCAGGATACTCAGACCGACGGGGACGAGTCTCCACTCGTCTCCTTTCTGTAGAAATCCTCTATCTTGGGGTCTACTTCTCGATGAAGGAGGCCGTCACGAACTGGACGTCAGCGCGGATTTGCCGACTCCGCCCGACCCCAAAACAACACTTTGTACATCCCTCATGGCCTGTGGGGTTGGGGTGGTGGTGGTGGTGGTTAGTGGGTGGTAGGTGGTGGGGGTGGGGGGGGAGAAGGAGAAAGGAGAGAAAAAAAGGCATGACCTCCTTTTTTTCTTCTTCTTTCTTTTTCTTCCTTTCCGCGCGAAAGACCTCCTTCTCTCTCTCTCTCTCTCTGCTCTCTCTCATGCTCTCTCTCACTGTTCTCTCTCTCTCTCTTCCCCCCGCTGACAGCCC